TTTACCTACAAAATAAACATTTAGTTACCCTAGAATAGGTAGCTTCCTGGCAGCTTAAAATAGATAGAGCTTATATTTGGAAAATGCTGCAGTTAAATATACATTCATTTGTTCCATCTTATAGTAAACTGAGTTCACCACTGAGGGACTCTTCCCTGTGTTTTTGCAATATGCAGCTGCTATGTTCATTCTTTGAAAACAGCTCCATCGGGTCAATCTTTTAATAAGTGGGACATTCTATGCACTATAATTTATAATTATATCTGCTCAGGCTAGACTTTGAATCCATCTATGAAAAATGGAAAATGTTTTTTGTAAAAGGGAAAATAATTATGCATTTTAGGGAGTTGGTTCCAAATGTGGGTAATATTCATTCTGAATCATACTAATGATTGTCAAGTGATGCCAGTTTTAGGGATAGATCTTAAAAAGTCGGTAAGGAGAGTCAAAGGTCTAGGTAAGTCAGACAGCAACGTTCAGCCTTTAGAATAATTATATATCCAAAAATTAATTTTGTCAAAAAGACCACACTTGCCAGAATTGCACTGCATGTGTTTACATTAGCATGTAGACACTTTAGGACCAGTCTTAAAGGAGAACGGAAGAACAAAGTGGTTGGTGATGCTGAGCACTGAATTATTTAGAACAGGATTTTTTAGTGGTGTGTATATTATTTGCTCTGTGTACATCATGATACCTTAGAATGAAATGCAACAAATTTATAGTATATAATTTCTAATATACAAAAGAACTCATCCCAAAGAGAGCATGCCTTCTTTTTGATTTGGGACAGCAATCCAACACAACAAATAAAAATATTTATCATTACTTAATAACCTCAAAAAATACCTTGAATCTTAGATGACTTTTTACTTTGCTACCCCTTCTAAAATAAAAACTACTATCATCTCTCCCCTAAAGTCTCCATTCCCTTCAGCTTCTCATCAAGCTTTATCCCTCCAACTTGTGTACAGCCTTGTGGCAGAGTCACAGCCCCACGTGCATTTCCACTGCTTCTGTCTGAATGTGGCCCAAGAGCACTTCTCGCTGGGACCATTCTGCTTTCAGTCTGGGTTACTCCCAGTTCATTCTCTATGTTTCTACCAGAGTGGTCTTTCCAAGAACATAAAATTGTTCATAATAGCTTCCACTTACAGTCGTTCTGTGGCCACCTTCAGTTTTAGGACTGGCACTAAATAGCCTCTCCCTCTGGCCCCTGCTTATTTCTCCAACCTCTCTTCTCCCACATACCCTTCCCTCTCAATGATCTGAACTACTTGCAATTCTGGAATGCACCACATGGCCACATACCCAATCATCCGCTTTGCAATTATTGGAGAGGATCATTGTGTCTTCTCTTCTCAGCAACCTCTCCCCTCTTTTCAAAGTGACCCTTGGCTGAGCTTATTCTTACATCTCCTTCAAAACTCAGCTCTAGTACCACATTTCCTAACTGCTGTCATTTCACTTCTCATACTGCATTGTTATCGTTCAATGATTTATGAGTCTGCCATTCCCAGTTGAGGGCACATATTAAATTGCCTTATGTGGATTTCTATTCCAAGTAACCAGTTCAGCCCCTGGTGCATATTGAATGTCATTGGGATTAATAAATTCATAGAAACCATTGGTAACTTTGGTTTTCTTGATAACACTAAATGGAACTCAATGTACAGACTCTCTATAACAAGGTGCTATGATAGAGGCTTCAGGAATTGGAGTTTGTTTGACATTAGGAATACCAGAGCAGAATGACTTAGATATTTCCACCAGATTTGGGACAAATGGATGGTAAGGTGCAGCCTGGCAGAGGCTACTAATATGGTAAAGTAAGATCTCAGGAGGTTTAGCTAGGTGGTAAATAGGTCTGGTTTTTATTGGGAGGGGAAAAGATGGGCCATATACCGAGTGGAATGGCAACAAGCATTAGCAGATAAGAGATTCTAATAGGCCGACATAAATGTGAATCTGGCTGAAAAGTAAAATAGCTTCAAGAATCTGAAGAAGTGATGGGCAGCCAATCAAGGATTTGAAGTACCGGACATAAATACAGTGCTATGAAAATTGATTACATCAATTTGGGTCTTCATCTTCAAAGAAATAAGAGCACTGGACAAGATAAGCCTTAAGATAAGGCTCCAATTACTGGGAGCAGTATCAAAGGTAGGAATGTGGTCAGAGGAAAGAAGACAGGACTCTCTCCTGGGAAGATTCAAAAAGCAAAGGAAGCAGGGCTCATCTAGGCCAAACTGCCCAACAAGACCAGTCTGGTCCTGCCACCTGGTCCCCACCTATGGGTATTCTCAGATAGCTGGGCAAGTCATTGTAAAAAAATAAAGATGGACAAAATTGGATTAGAATATTAGTTGGAAAGCAGATTTTTTTTCCTGTTAATAAGATTCTTTTAAAATAGTTAGTTGTTTACATATCATTTAATTATTTCTTCTTATAGTATTCCTGGTTGTAAATTAATTTCTTTCATTTTATTTTTTAAAGATTTTTATTTATTTGAGAGAGAGAGGGAGAGACAGAGAGGGAGCACTAGTGGGGGAAGGCAGAGGGAGAAGCAGGCTCCCCACTGAGCAGGAGCCCAACGCAGGACTAGATCCCAGGACCCCAGGATCATGACCTGAGCCAAAGGCAGACGCTTAACCGGCTGAGCCACCCAGGTGCCCCTGTAAATTAATTTTTGAGCACTAATCTCCTATCATGTAAAATTTGGAGTTCTCAGCCACTGCAATGAATTCCAGAGAAGGTGAAATGTCTTCCCAACAAACATAAAGAAGTACATTTCTGTGTCAGAGAAAGAGGATATAGGATTATTAAGGATTATTTTTGCATAACCACTAGTTCAGACTCTTACGAATTTTTGGAAATTAGAAATTTTGTAATAAGTAAATGTAAATGAAGTAAAAGAAAGATTTTTGATTTTAAAAGATGTCATTGATAACATACTCACTTATTCAACAAAGTTCCTCAACACCAATTATGAGCAAAGGACACTCCTTTGACTGTCCATGACAAATCTTCCATGACAAATCTGGGCACAGGCTGTGTGTTCTGTTGTGATCACCTTGTCTTTGATTTACACACAAAGCTTAGCACAGTGCCAGGCACATAATACATAGTCAGTTAATGTCTGTGTCATAAAATTTTTAAATGAATAAAGAGCTAATGAAAGTTACATTATGTAGCATGAGGATACAATAAGAATTATACACTATGTGTGCAACTTACATTAAGGAAAGTTGAATTCACTCAAATATCTAACAAGATAAATGCAAGTACCTAGTAGCTCATTTAAACAGCAGTAGCAGAACTGAGCACCTAGAAAGTAAAACCTAGAAAATAAATTTTATCACACGTAGGAACATATGAATGACCCTAATTATTTGTCAACAGAAAAAGATGTTGAATGCAGGCATTTTTTCTTTCTCCTCTAGACCAGCAATCAGACTCACTCATAGATCACTGATTCATGAATAGCACTATATACATACTTTCCATTTCCAAGGAGCCCGTGCTTCATAAGTGTTTGTATTACAAGTGTATTCAGTCATCTCTCTTGTTCTCCAGCATGGTTTTCCCGAGATTTTTAGTCAGACAGAACAGAAAGGAGTTTTCTTTATGGACTCAGGTTCTTTTATTAATTTTTTTATTATAATTTTTTTAAATTTAAAAAATCTTCCCTTCCTATGATATAGGACTGTTTGAATGGTTCATGTGTGCTCAGATGGCTGAATGTATTTATTTTATACACAGAACAAAGATTAATTTTATTTTCTTAACGAATTTGTGTAAACAACTTGAGATGAATCAGTTCTGAAATATCTGCACTGATTTTTGTGCTTTACTACTTTTTTTTTTTATTAAGATTTTATTTATTTATTTGACAGAGACACAGTAAGAGAGGGAACACAAGCAGGGAGAGTGGGAGAGGGAGAAGCAGGCTTCCCACTGAGCAGGGAGCCTGATGCAGGGCTCATGACCCGAGCCAAAGGCAGACGCCTAATAACTGAGCCACCAAGGTGCCCCTGTGCCTTACTTCTTAAGGGAAGTATAAAAATAAAAGTATCCACAAGATCTACAAGTTTCACGTGGAAACTTGCTTAAGTTTTGGGCATTTATCCAATTACAAATATGAAGAATTAAAATCATTGGAATAATTCAAACCAATTCTTGAAAACAACATGGCTCATAGTCTGCAAGATGAGGGTAATACGGGAGATTTTAATATCGGATAGAGAAAGGAAATGGCAAATTGAATTTTAATATTTACTATGGAATTCCTGAGAAGCAACAATTTAGGAATTAAAAGGTCACATAAGCTGCATTCATTATAACTAATCTCCTTTTATTTCCTCAAAACTTCCTATTTTTCAAGCACTCAAATGAAATTATTCATAACAGATTTAATGCATTGGATAGGAGTTATTTTCTCCTATTTCTGACAAATACTTTCAAAGCTCATATCCCATAGATACCGACAGAGGAAGTGGAATGAAATGGAACTAGAAGAAAATAAAAATCAAAGAGCAATGCTCTTAAATCAAAGAGTACAGAGAGTGGTTCAGTTCATGAATATCTCAAAAACCCCCTTGGAGGGGCGCCTGGGTGGCTCAGTCATTAAGCGTTTGCCTTCAGCTCAGGTCATGACCCGGGGATCCTGAGATCGAGCCCCACATCGGGCTCCCTGCTCCTCAGGAAGCCTGCTTCTCCCTCTCCACTCCCCCTGCTTGTGTTCCCTCTCTCGCTGTGTCTCTCTCTGTCAAATAAATAAATAAAATCTTTAAAAAAAAAAAAACCCTTCAGATCTTACTCTTAAAAGTCTATCTGCAGGCTTTGTCCAAATGAAAAACAAAACCAAACCAAAACAAAAATAAAACCTTTCTGATAGTCATTGTCAAATGACCATCTCTTAGAAATGAATGACTATATCGACCGCTAAGCAATTTCTCCTACTGCTATTTTGCCCTATTACTCGTATGTCCCCCCCTTACCTGATTGGTGCCCCTTTGGCCTGTGCTGGTCTCAACAACACGGTTATTGTGGTGGCCGTTTCATTGAGAGAGGCATCCACTCCTTCATAGTCAGGTAAAGTTGGAGCTGGTAAGTGGTTAATGAGAGAAGAAAAAAGTTCCTGTCAATTAACAGAATTCTATCACAGTTCAGGATGAATAAATGATCTGGAATGGGGGAAAACCAATTTCATATTTAATTTTCTAAAGGTACCTCAGTTTGTAGAATAACATATATTACTGAATGTTAACCCTGGGAACCTAATGCAGCAGAAGATATGAAGCCACGATTTGTTGTTGAAATTTAACTTATCATCTGGCGACTTGGACACACACGCCAAACATTTTGTGAAGGTGCTTTGGCTTTTGGTTTCCTGAGACCTTGAAACCAAGCATTGATGGGATGGGAGGTGAACAGCATTGACTCTGGGGAGACCTGGTTACGGACATGCACATGGAGATGTGAAGGCAGAGGGGGCAGGAAGTGAGCCAGAGGCTGCCTGGTGAGGTGGTGCTGGGTGCGATATAAAGGTTGTGGAATGGTCCAGTGTTAGTATCTGGACTGTGGCCGCAACAGAAACATATCGAGGAAGTGTGGTGAATGGGAACTGCAGTTTTTATTTAGCATGAACTAGTGCATTAGTTGCCAGATTCTTGAAAAGTAGAAACTCATCAAATATCAAAATATTTGATAATGGTTGGGGTGGGGGACAGGGCTCCCTAATCCTGAACTGGGTGAAAAAGTAACCTCAAATGGCTTTTGGTTATTTTAGGGAGGACATAACCAGTGAAATGTGTGCAGTATCAGAGAAACTGAGAACAAATGGCATCTAATATAAATTTCAAAGTATTTCATTCTTTCATTGAGTATTTACTGAATATATACAACGTGTCAAATTTTGTAAGTGCTGTGAGTATAAAGACAAAACATGGTCTCTGACATTTAGAGAATTAAAAGTATAGATTGACATTTTATCAAGAGTGAGAATCTTTTTTTCTTTTTAAAGATTTATTTATTTGAGAGAGAGAGAGAGAGAGAGAGCACGAGCAAGGGGAGGAGCAGAGGTAGAGGAAGAAGCAGACTCCACGCTGAGCAGGGAGCCCAACTGCAGGACTGTGAAATCACAACCCAAGCCAAAGGCCGACACCCAACTGACCGAGCCACCCAGGTGCCCCAAGAGTGAGAATCTTAAACAACAACAACAAAAATAATAGCCAAATTTTAGGTGACTTAAAGAGGAGTCAGTTCATTTGCTAAAACAGTGGTTCTCAAACTAGTGAGATCAGATGCCCATGAAGGCTTTTTTTTTTTATTATGTTATGTTAATCACCATACATCATTAGTTCTTGATGTAGTGTTCCATGATTCATTGTTTGTGTATAACACCCAGTGCTCCATGCAGAATGTGCCCTCTTTAATACCCATCACCAGGCTAACCCATCCTCCCACCCCTTCCCCTCTAGAATCCTCAGTTTGTTTCTCAGAGTCCATAGTTTCTCATGGTTCGTCTCCCCCTCCAATTTCCCCCCTTCATTCTTCCCCTCCTGCTATCTTCTTCTTCTTTTTTTTTTTAACATATAATGTATTATTTGTTTCAGAGGTACAGGTCTGTGATTCAACAGTCTTACACAATTCACAGCGCTCACCATAGCACAAACCCTTCCATGAAGGCTTCTTAAAACCCAGACTACTGCCCTTTTCCCCTTGAGTTTCTAATTCAATAGGTCCAGGGAAGAGCCTGGTAATGTGCATTTCTAGAAAGTTTTCAGGTGATGTTGATGCTGTTGGTCTATGGACCACACTTGGGAGAACCACTAGTCTAAATCAGGGTTGGTAGTTAGAAAAATCAAACAGACAACTTCGGGGTTAAGACGATGCTTGAGCTGAATGTTAAAAGTGCAGTAAAAACTTATCAAGACAAGAAAGCATCCAATAAAATGCAAGAGATGGGAAACAGAATATCTAAAGACATCATCACGTGAAAGGAGACTTCGTGTTATGACAGCTACAAGCAGTCTGCGAGGCCTGGAACTTTGGGTTCATGGGTAGGAGTGGTGGATGGAAGGAACTATAAAATTAAGGGGCACAAATGTTAATCATGCATGGATGTTTGGGCTTTATCCTACTAAATACAATGTATTAGATTTTGAAAAAAATTTAGGGGGCTTCTGGGTGGCTCAGTTGGTTAAGCGACTGTCTTCCGCTCAGGTCATGATCCCAGGGTCCTGGGATCGAGTCCCATATCAGGTTCTCCCTGCTCAGCGGGGAGCCTGCTTCTCCCTCTCCCTCTGCCACTCCCCCTACTTGTGCTCTCTCTCTCTCTCTCTGTCAAATAAATAAATAAAATCTTTAAAAAAATTTTCTAGGAAAGAAATATATGTTGTACAAAGTTCAATAGAAAAATACATCGAAGCAATGTAGTCTGAAGCCAAAGATAATGCTCAGAAAGATATTTCAATCATCTGTTTAAAGTATGGTCCAGAAGGAAAGGAAGAAACAGTGACATCAGAAAGAGATAAACTATCTGAAGAGTTATTTAGGAAGTAGAATCAACAGATATTAAATATGTACAATATGTATATACATGTGGATTATATATATAATATGTGTATTAAAACACACACACATACCATGCCTCCAAGCATCATGCCTCCAATAACTTGATTTCACTTTTATTTAAATTGTTTTCAAAATGCTGCGGGATATAATTTCTGTACTCAAGGGATAAATAACAATAAATTATCCTAAAATTTCACGTGATGCTGAGAACCACGCTAACCATAAATTTTATTAGCCTTAGCTTGATTACTACATGTTCTGAGGATACAGTGATTGCAATCAAGTTTTTAAAGTTCAAATCAAGTACCCATGTATATAGGTTGATTCAAGTAAAACTGTAGTTAAATAATTCAAAGAAAATGTTAGATGGGTGTTCTGGTCTTTAATTATAAATTTTTTATTCAATAAAAAACACTATGTCTAAACCATAATAAAATATGGTTCTTGACAATGCCCATTTGTTCAAAGTTTTACAAGTTCATGTAATTTTGTAACTATCTCTACTGAAGGATCTTATTCAAATACAGCACTATGGCTCATTCTGGAGGGCAGGAAACAGGTTTCACTGTACAATGATATCGCCAGGTCATATTTTCTAGTGATTCAATAACTATTTTAAATGGGTGATTTAGAATTGTTCCATTAGGAAGTGAACTGGCAATTTTAATACATTGCTATTTTCTAACATAATGGATGATATTTTAAAATTCTTTTTTGTTCGAGTAAGATAAATCAAATAGCTCATATTGGAATAGCTAATATTTTTCATGATATAGTTTTTTAAGATTTTATATTCAAAACATTTCCAAATAGAAATGTTACATCTATAATATATATTTATTTTAGGAATCTCAAATAAGTCAGATAAAACATTACATAAGCTAGAGTAGAATTAGGGCATATGACAATGCTAATTACTGGCCAAATTTAATCAGGTTTAACTGATGACTTGACCGAAGAAGAAATCATATCTGTAAATAATCTAGTCAATTACAAACTGAGATTGTGAGCATAAAATAATGTGAAACTTAACTGTATTTGTTTATCAACTTAAGTTCTCCTGTACATTACCATTCTGAAATTTAGATGAATTTATGTGAGATTTCTAAGAGAATGAATTCCTCATATTTGCTTAAAAATATCAGAATGTCAGGGAAAGTGGAAAAGAGAGACAAGGTATGTGGCACTATTAACAGTGGATCAAAGATCTGCTATCATTCTTTTGATAAAATCCACTTACAGCAGATATCTGATACCATTAATAATTACCAACTCCTCAAAGGTGATGTCTATTAGCATTCAGAATGAACTTTTAAATACTTCTAATTAGGATAAAATGACATTTTTAAAAGGACCACTGTCAATTAAAAGTGACTGAGATGTTTTTGGTTTTGGATATATAACCAATTACAATCTATATTCACATAATTCTTTGTTTCAAGTTTTTATTTAAATTCTAGTTAGTGAACATATAGTGTAATACTGGTGTCAGGAGTAGTATTCACAGAATTCTTTAATGAACCTTCAATCAGGAATAGCTAGCTATATTAAAGATATAATAAGTGAGATGACTACCCTGAGTGCATATATGATTCTCTAGGACATGCTATTACAAACCAATCCTGTGTGCATTTTATTCCTCTGTGTACCTGAGATATTGGTGGTCACATTGATGGCTGTGGCTGGCCCAAAGCCTTTGACTGTGCTGGCTCTTATGAAAAACTGGTAGGTGGTTCCGGGATGAAGATGCATAAAAACATGATGTGTGCTGTTCCATAAATTTGATACAGTCTGAGGAGGTCCAGCCACTGGAACTGCAGGATCAAATGATCTTATGCTGCTGTAGCTGACCTGTTTTAAGAAATATATTTGCTATTACATATCATGATATAATCTAAATAAAGCTTTTTTACATAAGATAGTATTCAAGGGTATCTCTGTGGAGTGAATCACATTTTTCTTAAACTTCTTTTCCTTCTCATTTGGATATGGTTATTTCCCAGTCATTCTATATCTAACGTCTGTCTATCCATCCAGCCGGCCAGCCGGCCAGCCAGCCATAGATATACCTAGAGGTAAAATATCTGACTGTACCAATGTGCATCTATTTTCTTCCATCAAAAGATAAACTAATTTACTTAAATACGGGTACACATACATACACAATCTTATGGTTATATATTTTAATGTATATGAAACACAGAAAGTGTTCAAGAAATGTTTGTTGTAAGTAACATCATCCCATACTTTGTCCAAATCACATAACAGATTTCATTAACCAGCACTCGAGTGTGCTGACAGGGTCACAATTTATGACACTGCCCTAATGATCCTCATTCCCATGATGCACTCTGTAGCCGCTAGAAATTTAAACATTTTACGCTCTAATCAACACTGACTATGCAGGAAGAGAACTACACATTTGTGCAATTATAATGATCTTTTCTTCTTTTTAGCTTCCCCTCTTTAAAAATTAGATAATGATTTATAACAAAATTGAGATGAAACTCTGGAATAGTCAAGTTTATAATACATTTTGCTGTCTCGGGAGTAATCCTTTATTCTGAAACAAATGACATTCAATGGCCTCCCCTAACTACAATGTATCTTAATTTTATAAAAATTCATTCTTTACAACCATCAGTAAGCCTGTTTGAAAAGGCCCATCCTGCTTCTCTAAAACAACAACAAAAACACATTTACTTTAAGAATTAGAAAATTCTAGGTGCCATCCAGTATTTGTTTTGAAACTCAATTTTGGGATGAAGGAATTTGTAAAGTAAAACAGAGGTGTACTAAAAATGATTTGATCTCCTAATCCTCACTTACTTATTTTCCATTATTTCTCTCCAACTTTTTCCTTTTACTCTCCCTTCAACCCACATTTCAATTAACTTCCTTATTCTCCCAATACCTCATACTGAGTGATGATTCCATTTGGATCCAAAGGTTCTTTCCAGTTCAAGAAGATCTTATTTTCAAAGGATGTTCCTTGAAGAGAATTGACTGGTACAGGGCCAGGCACTACAAATATACACATTTTTGGTTATAAAGATCCTTACATCAGAAACAGAAAAAATGAATACTGTAAGTTATATAAACCAAATTAAAAATAAAAAAAATGTGTCCTTAAAAAGAAAATAAGCTATGTGACCAGTTTTCTGATTTTTAACAAATGGGAATTTAGAATAATCTATAAGCTTCTAATGCAGAAAATATACAACTCCAAAGTTATTTTTATTCAAAAGAATAGTCTATCACCTTAGAGAGTTGAATAAATTGTATAGCCTAGTTTTCTCTGTTGTATACCTCTAATAACATGAAGATCTCATTTGTAATTTGTTTCAAGAACACAACTATATTTCCCTGAAAGATATTCTGAAGATTATGATAAGCCCCTAAAGTATCTCCATAAACAAATTTCATTAAATAATGAATTATAGTAATAATTAACACTCCTCAGACTCAAAAGCCAAATCATAGAATACTGAATTGAAATGCCCACTAAGAGTCAATCTGATTCTTACTGCTATCCTTATTAAATTTCTATAATTTAAAAAAACACAGCACTGATTATTACAATTTTTTAAAAAACTTTAAGATGAATAGGTTCAAATATCATTGCTTTAGTCTTTTAAATGGAATTCCCTCTTGCAAAGCTAAGCATCAAACCATTTTATAATACCAGACTTGTTTAGAACTCAACAATCAGCATAACCGGTTCTGAAGTGTCCCCAGGTATGACAAGAGTTGAGGAACCTTCATACCAGTCCTTATTTGCAAATGTCACATAACTGACAATACCCAGTGGCAGCAATGAACAATGTGTCAGTTTCTATTGACAAAATATAAAACATCAGATACTTTTGCTCTTTGCTTTTATGTATTTTATCTAAACACATAGTTGCTATTTATTCACAGAAATATCCAGTTTCTTGTTCTGATAATGTTTAAATATATATCCTACCCATCCTACTTTGCTTAAAAAATGTGTTTTCTTTTGAAACACTGACCCAATACTGGGCAAGTATGGTTTTTAATTAATATTTTTCCTTAATCTAACGTTTCAGTGAACTTCACACATGGCATTATCTAGAAACGTAGTTGCAGAGTATACAGCAATTTTGTGAGGCTTGAAGTAAATTAAAAATCACCGGATCAAAGGAAATGCACTGCATTGTAGCTAGCAGCATCAAGAAATTCTGAATGATACGTCAAAGTAGGAAGATTTATTTCAGACTACAAGGAGACGATGAATGATGTTATGACCTCTGGGACAGCCAATATAATTTGGCACATTAATAATAAATTCATAAAGAAAAAAACCATAAAGGAAAGAAACCCATAAACAGAAAAGATGCCAGCACTAAACTTCAGAATATATGTACATGCATCTGTCAGCTGAGGGCTGAGGGACAACTTAACCAAAGGCATCCATTCCCTGGCAAGTCCCAGGTCCACTGTATTGGCACAGACTATACAGTTGATCCAGGCAGAGAGGCCATCACGGCCCCTATGTGTACTCTGGGGCACTTACAGAGGCTGCCATGGGTGTTAGTTTGTTAACTAACAAGGGTGATAGCTGTTATGTCATTTGAGTAGAGTGAAAACAAGCTTCTGATTGTGATTAAGGAAAAGTATTTCTTCACCTTTCCATAACTTTCAGAGATGGTGACTGCTGGAGGTAGTAGGAGATAAAACCCCAATTAGTGAGAAAATGTTTATTTGATGGTATTATAATTGCTACCTGTGTTCACTAACCACAATTTGGCCAACAAATATATAAAATGGTGCGATATATTTCCAATTGTTTACAAATAAAGATAGTTAAAAATGTTTGCATAATTCCACATTGGAAGAGGGACAGAATTAAAGTATCCTTCCTAGAATTTGTGTATTTCTCTGCTCTTCTTCTTCTCCTTTTTTTTAAGTGGGTTCTACACCCAGCATGGAGCCAATGGGGCCTGAACTCACGACCCTGAGATCAAGACCTGAGCTGAGATCACGAGTCGGATGCTTAACCAAGTGAACCGCCCAGGCCCCTCTCTGCTCTTCTTACACATACTCTACTTTGTCAATAAAATTCACTTAAAGTACCTACAGGTCATATTTGTAAGAGGGAAAAGTCTGTGGAAAAATTATGGCCAAGAGTACCACGCTACTGATCTTGCACCGGGACTAGTATGGTGGACAAGAAAAAGAACTACACTTAAGTGAATGACAAAGCACACACATAAACAGGTGGGGCGGGGAGTGGGCACAGATAAGTTATATTTAATAACTCTCCACCTCTGAAGGAAGACAATGTCTATGTAGAATGTCTATACGTACTTTTGATTTGTGTAAATACAACATGAAGTTACTAAGACCATCATCATGGCTGTCTTCATATTGCAGGGAATGTCACTTCACATTTCCACATCAACAACTTTTAATGGAGACAGAATGCTGACTTTCATTCCCCTGCTTGTGATTTATTTGAGAGCTGTTTCAGCTATTTTTTTTTTAAAGAAAGTCCTTTAAAATATAACTCTCAAAATGGAAGAGAGAGGAAAAATGAAATGTGGGTGGGGCATGATTATATTAAATAAACACTACAGACTTTAAAATATAATAAATGTACATTTAAAAATAGCTCTGTATTAGCAAAAAATGTCCCCAAACCAGGGTTTTCTGCTGAGTTAACTTCATAATATTGATTTTTGTAAATGCTAGGATAAAAAATGAAAACAAAATCTCATACAAAAAATTCTACCTATGCATTAAAAAATGTATGCAATAAATTAAATATAAATTCTACCTTAGGGTTCTGGTGGGAAATCATTTTAGCTTTGCTCTCATGATTTATGTATGTCCCTAGAATTCTTTTCATGAAATTATATTCTTTTTAATAAAAGGTGGTTGATAATTTATTCTTTTTCTATGTATATAGGGCAGCAATAATTTAGTAAGACTGACTTAATTAGATCATCATAACCCATCGATCTTTGCAACAATAGATTATGATTCAGACATTCTGTCCCCCCTCTCAGGAACATTGAGTCATATCAAGGGTTCTATGTAGAAACTGGAGCTCATGTGAGCAGATCTGAAGACTGAGTTACTTGAAAATACTTTATACAAAGTTTGTACTGCAGTCATTTAGTTTTATACATAAAACAAAGGAGAAGAAAAAAAATTCTCACAGTAGAAAGAATTACTTTTTGACTATGCTATGAAATAATAATATGCAACTCAATATCATTACAGCTAGTAAAAATGTTCTTCAAAACATACCTTAAAATAAAACTAGAATAAGAAACAATATTGAAATTATATACTATATAGTTAATTTCATCCTATGTTTATAAAACTATTTCTATATAAAATAGCACAGTCATGAAGTTGATGAATTGAGGACATAATTTAAGATTCCATAGCAATTCACTTCCTGATTATTAATCTACTTGCCTGTACACCCAAAAATACATTTAAAAATTTAATGAAATATGAAAAAGTTATATGAGCCTGACTGCATTCTTTGGTTTATGGGAAAGAAAGGCAAACTAAAAGCCATACCAAAGTATACCACCAAAATGAATATATTAATAGAGAGTGACTGGCAGAAAAAGCACAAATGTAACTGAATCTAAAATGACCAATTAAGAAATCAAGTTTTTAAAATTTTAAGGGTAGGCAATAAGGTGTGTGAGTACATTCTTATTACTAAAAACATGGCTTACAAAGTAGAGTAATACAGACATTTTAGCATTTATCCCACTTTATGAAATGAGATAGAGATTTTTCAGAGCTTTTGAATCTGCTTAGACTTTCCATTTCTATCATCCATCTATGAAACAACTAAGCTAATTATTCTTTCTTATATAATCATGTGTTGGGGTGTGTTCTGTGTGGGGGGGATATGAGTGTGTGTTTATGTATTAGAGCAAGTTTGTTGTTTGAAATATCATTAAGGCTTAGATTAGGTATAAATTCAAACATGATAGTTGAGGTAATCATGTTTGGTTACGTTAAACATGACAAAGTACATTTATCATAAATAAGTCTTAGGTTTATTCTTTGAAAATTTAGGACTATGAGAATAACTCCATGCATAATTTTAGGACAATATTGTTTCCTTCAAAGTCTGAGGTACATGAGGTTGAAAAGCTCTCACTGTCCTTTATGACAACAAAAATAATAGGACCAATCTGGGTCATTTCTACTTTTCAGAGTGAGAGTGTTTGAAGTGATACAGAGAAACTTCTAGAAACTGTGGTATGTTTGGCCTATCTTCAGGAAATCTCATACTTGATAGACATCAAGATCTACATCTGTGCCTAAAGTTCAGAACTTGAGGGAAACTGGAAACACTTGGGTATGAAATACATCCTATTTTCTGAAATCCAAACAAAAACCTACTGACAGGCTATTCAAGGAGAAATTCAGAAGGGGATGAGATCATCTTATTTAAACTTTTCATAGAGAGATGAGAAATGGAAATCTAGAGGAGTAAACAGATTGGGTAAGGTGATAGAGGTATTAGTGCCAGGACTAAAAACTCAGGATTCCTGACTCCCAGGTTCAGCTTTGCCTCCATTCACTAAATAGGCTATGTTTTCCCCCTACATGCTTCCATTCATGATGGTAAATTTTGGAAATGAAATGTCTTACAATGAAATAATACATTACTGTTATTATCAGAGTATCATCATTTGTACATTTTTTGGGGTATAGGGCACATTTCTCTTGAATTAAGAAATGTACTCATTCACATTAATGACAAACTATAGTGCTATAGCAGGTGTGGACAAATTATAATATAATATAAATGTTTGTTCCTATTACTTAATAATTTGGAAGTGACACACATAGATATTGGACATTATATAGTTAAATTCCTTGGGTGGTAATAAAATGGATAAAAGATGACAGCTTGCTGATATCTGATAAGGGCCTTTATCGAGACTTAAAAGATATGAACTTCAACCTTCTTTTATATTTAAACTTACATGAAACCATCTGAAAATGAGTGGAATAGGCAAACGGTGCTGTTTCCAAATGTTAAGGAAAATGAAAGCTGCTATTACTGGTTTGTAAAATGTGAAGAACTAAATTTTAACCAAGTGCATTTTACCAATAGGTAAATGATGTAATGCCATGAATAGTGAAAATTATTTTTGCACATTTGATAGGAACAACTTTATTTAAACTTTAGTGTAGTTGTTACTTCTCTAACATATAAAAACAGAAAAGAGTAGAGGTACATTTCATCTAGTATTTGATGCTACTCTGAAGACTATTAAGCTTTTTAGTTAAAGGCAAACTCCTTTCAAAGTTAACCTCGTTAAAAGTATTTAATAGATTTCAGAATCCAATTCAATTTTGGTGACTCTAGAGAAAATTATAAGCAATGACATAATCCTGTTATGTAATTCACCCTTTTTAAAATAATGAAGTATGAACATACCATCTTCATCAGTTTGAATAATCGTCTCTTCACTCTCCTTCCTGCCTTCTGGATTGGTTAGGATCATCTTGAGGCTGACATTTGTATAAGGTGGCAGATGGTTCACAACATGCTGAGGGGCTTTGGGGTCCATGTCCAAGCAGTCTGCCTTGCTCTCATTGTGACCACGGAAGTAATGGTAGCAGATAGTGACATTAAAAGTGTGGCAACGAGTAATATTATAACCCAGGGATTCCCAGTCCACAGCAATGTGTCTTGCCTGTATCTCAGCAATCTTTAATGTCTTTGGGGTTCTCATAGGTTCTGAAAAATAAAGATGCAGACGGCTGTCAACTTTACAATGAATAATCTTGGAAAAATCAAACACTGAGCATGACATAGCATGTGTAAACCTAGGAAAATGTGGAAGTCATCTTTTATTCTCATTTTCTTTATTTACTCATGATCTTATTCCTGAAGGTTTCGGTCAGGGACTATGATTTACCAATGGGAAAAGAAATGGAAAATGTTAACAATCCATGGTACTCAGGAACATGGCGAAAAGACAAAACCCTGAAAATGAGGCCATAATGCTTTTATAGTTGTTGTTGTTACTGCCCAATTCCCCATCTCTCTTTTCTCTTGTCATTACTGAGCAAGTGAATTAGCTAATATATCATAATGGATAAGAGTCAACACGTTCTGCTCTATGATTTGTCATGTCACCAGCTATGGTGTATACTAATTAGTCTAATTGTAATACTAAACTACCATTTACCAAAAAGTGATGCAGATATTAATTAACATTTATTATTTCAGTAATGATGCTGTTCATCAAAGCAGAAAAATATCTAAGAAAAAGTGCAAGAACACATGTGGATATTCACATTGTCATCGATCCTTCTTGATCTCTTTCTATCTTTTCCTAGGAAACACTCAGGTCTGACAGTCCATTCACTGTCACCCAAACCAAACTGGGAGGTGAATTTCCATTCAACTGGAAAATGCTGGCAGAACTAAACACTCCGAAGACTGGAGTCCATCCATCACCGCTTCCCAAGTGTATTCTTTCCTCATGCAAGACTAACTTTAATCGTCTAACTTAATCAAAATAATTACTCTATGAAAGTCATGGCCATGGCAAAGTCTACACAGTAAACAAACCAAAATACAGCTAAGCTTTCATACATTGACTGGACAAAGAGATTAAAATCAAGGCCAAGGTCAAAGCCATGTTGGTACCTCCTTTAACTCACTAAGAATAGTCAATGCTCTTGCTAAATGGGAGTCAGTAGACAAAAAAAGAAAGAAAATAAATGATACAAAAAGCCCAATTTGGGTGTTTTTATAAATTTTCATTTTTGAGATTAAAATCTCAGTTCTGTAAAAATAAACAACATGGTACACAGATGGCAAGCCCAAATTGGGATTCCAGTTCAATGTATTATGTGTGCCATCTGAAATACACTCTGGTGGCCATTTAAAACCTCAAAACTACAAAAATACATACAAATACATGCAAATTAATCCATGGTAGAATCCAATGCTTAGGTTTTAAATGCTGTGTGCCAGTCTTCTGATTATGCACAGTATCTAGTCTCCTTATTTTATCACTTTTGTTTTGTGTTTTACATTAAGCATTGTAAATAAGTTGGAAGAAAGATGTGGCTTTCTAACCATTAAAAAAACTCTTTGTATGTCTAGCTCTATGCTCACAATTCCCCATCAGGCACAGGAGTGAGCTGATGGCACATACAGTTTAGTCTACAGTTCAGTGAAAACACATTCTTTGGCACCCCTGACCACTAAGATGACCGGGCAGTCGTAGGTAGCATCATCCTAAAATTCTCAGATAAACTGTGATTGTAGTGCCTAATGGTAACAACCTGATGGAAGTTACAGGTCATGTTCAGGTTAGGCCATACTTTGTGACAAAAGTATCCAGAATAAGAAAGTAAGATTTCTCCCTAAAATACTTGCAGTATATGAATATCTCCCATAAAATGATGACCACAAACACCAAAATATATATACTCTGTTTAAAAATATTTTTTAGATATAGTATTTATACACTTGAGAAATGTCTTATTTTGCATCTGAAATTCCCTTTATAAATTTCTCTATTTCCAAGTGATCACTCTCTTTCATTCACCTTTTCATTAATCCTGCTATTCAATTTGCACTTACCCTGCATTCTAATATAATTTTAAAAGCATAAGAAAACCATAAAAAATTGAGGAAGACACAAATAAATGGAAAGATATTCTGTGTTCATGAATTGGAATAATCAATATTGTTAAAATGTCCATATACCCAAAGCAATCTACAGATTCAGTGTGATAGCTATCAAAACTCCAATGGCGTGATGCCTGGGTGGCTCAGTTGGTTAAGTGTCTGATTCAGGTCATGATCTCAGGGTCATGAGATCGATCCCCTCATCTGCTTGAGATTCTGTCTCTCCCTCTCCCTCTGACCCTTCCCATCTCTCTCTCTCTTCCATGCTCTTTCTAAAATAAATAAATAAATCTTTAGAAAAATCCCAGTGGCATTTTTGAAAGAAATAGGACAAACTATCCTAATATTTGCATGGAACCATTAAAGACCCTGAAAAGTCAAAGCAATCTTAAGAATGAAGAACAAGGCTAGAGGCATCATGCTCCCTGGTTTCAAATTACATTACAAAATTACAGTAATTAAAACAGTATTGTACTGACATAAAACAGACACATAGATCAGTGGAACAGGATAGAGAGAATTATTTATAGCAAAGGAGCCAAGAATATACAATGGGGAGAGAAGAGTCTCTTTTTTTTTCTTTTTAAGATTTTATTTATTTATTTGACAGAGACACAGCAAGAGAGGGAACGTAAGCAGGGGGAGTGGGAGAGGGAGAAGCAGGCTTCCCGCCGAGCAGGGAGCCCGATTTGGGGCTCGATCCCAGGACCCCGGAATCATGACTGAGCCAAAGGCAGATGCTTAATGACTGAGCCACCCAGGTGCCCTGAGAACAGTCTCTTTAATAAAAGGTGTTGGGAAAGCTGTACAGCTACACAAAAAGAATGAAATTAGACCACTATTTTGCACCTTATACAAAAATTAACTCAAAATAGATTAGACTTCAATGTAAGACTTGAAACCATTAAACTCCTAGAAGAAAATATAGGCAGTAAACCCCTTGACACAGGTCTTGGGGATGAATTTGTGAATCTGACACAAAAAAGTGAAAGCAAGAAAAGCAAAAAACAGGTAAGTGGGACTGCATCATACTAAATAAAACGCTTCTACACAGCAAAGGAAATCATCAAAAAGATGAAAAGGCAACCTACTCAATGGGAGAAAATATTTACACTTCATATATCTGATAAGGGGTTAATAACCAACATACATAAAGAACTTGTACAACTCAACAGCAAAAAAAAAAAAAATCTAATTAAAAAATGGGCAGCAGATCTGAATACACATTTGTCTGAAGATGACACACAGATGGCCAACGGGTACATGAAAAGATACTCAACATCATTAATCACTAGGGAAATGCAAATGAAAAAACAATGAGATGTCAGCTCATACCAATCAGAATGACTACAATCAAAAAGAGAAACAATAACAAGTGTTGGCAAAGATGTGGAGAAAAGGGAGCCCTCGAGCGTTGTTGTTGGGAATGTAAACTGATGCAATCATTATGGAAAACAGAATGGAGTTTCCTCAAAAAATTAAAAATAGAACTACCCCATGATTCAGCAATTCTACTTTTGGGTACTTATACAAATAAAACACTAATTTGGAAGACACATGCACCCCATATTTATTGCTGATTATTTATAAAGCCAAGATATGGAAACCAAAGTGTGCACGTATCTATACATATAAACAATAAAATATTATTCAGCCATAACAATAAGGAAATCTTGCCATTTGTGCAGCATGAATGGACCTCAAGGGTATCATGCTAAGTGAAATGTCAGGCAGACAAAGACAAATACTATATGATTTCTCCTATATGTGGAATCTAAAAAAATTAAAAAAATAGAAAAGAAAAAAAATGAATAAAGTTCATAGATACAGACAACAGATTGATGGTTGCTAGAAGTGGGAGTATGGGGGTGGAAAAATAGGTAAAGGGGTTACAAATTTATCAAAAATACAAAGTAAATTGAAAAAATGTAACTGTGTTAGAGATAGAAGACATAACTTCATTGAAGGGAATGGGGAAAAATAACCTAAGTAAATTAAGAAATGAGTAGAGGCAATGAGACAAGAAACAAACAAAAAAACAAAAAGAGCAGCTATTCCTAGTAATGATCTAAAGTTTACAGGTGACTTTAGGGTGCAGCATCATCGAGACACCATGATTCTGAACAGTAAATGTGGAAGTCTGTTCAAAGAAAAAAAAAACCTGTCAGAAAACCTGTCACACCTGTCAGAATGGATAAAATCAACAACACAAGAAACAACACAGGTTGGTGTGAGGATGTGGAGAAAAAGGAACCCTCTTGCACTGCTGGTGGGAATGCAAACTGGTGCAGCCACTGTGGAAAACAGTATGGAGGTTCCTTAAAACATTAAAAATAGAACTACCTTACAATGCAGCAATTGCAATACTAGGTATTTACCCAAAGGATACAAAAATACTAATTCAAAGTAATACATGCACCCTGATGTTTATAGCAGCATTATCTACAATAGCCACATTATGGAAAGAGCCCACTGTCAATCAACTGCTGAATGGATAAAGATGTGGTGTGTATGTATATGTGTGTGTGTGTATATATAAATATATATATATACACATATATATATATATAAAATATTATCCAGGATTAAAAAATAATTAAATCTTGCCATTTTCCACAAGAGGGACAGCGATAGGGAGTATAATATTAAGCAAAATAAGTCAGAGAGAGACAAATGTCATATGATCTCACTCATATGCGGAATTTAAGAAACAAAACAAATGAGCAAAAGGAAAAATAAAAGGGAGAGAGACAAAGCAGGAAACAGACTCTTAACCATAGAGAACAAACTGATGATTACCAGAAAGGAGGTGGGTAGGGAGATGGGAGAAATAGGAGATAGGGATTAAAGAGTACACTTAACATCATAAAAAAAGAAAAAACTAGAAAAAAATAATAAATGAAAAAATAAAGTAGACATATGAATGTGAAAAATGTGGAAATGAAAAGTAGAGGTGAAAAAGGAAGCTATTTAACACTTTCTGAACTGAAAGCCTTAAGAAACAAATCTTAAACCTTGTTATATTACCGACTATATATTTCTACATTTTCTCCTAAGCTAATCATAAAATAGAGAATTAATTTTCCTAT